TGTGATTAGAGTGGGGCAAATTTCATCCCCACTCCCTGACCTTGGGAGAAGAGAGAAGGACTTTGAAGTTGAGCTCAGTCACCAGTGGCCAATAATCTAATCAACCATACCTATGTAATGAAATTGCCATTAAAAAAAACAACTCTAAACAATGGGGTTCAGAGAACTGGGTTAGTGAAGACATTGAGGGGCTGGAAGGATGGTGTGCTTGGAGAAGGAAAGGAGGTTTTTGCACCCTTGCACTACTCCCACGTACATTGCCCTATTCATCTCTTCCCTTTGGCTGTTCCGGAGTTGTATCCTTTATGACAAAGTGGAAAACATAAGTACAATGTTATCCTGAGTCCTATGAGCTATTTTAGCAATTTATCAGATGGAGGGTGTCATGAAAACCCTGAGTTTATAGCCAGTTGTTCAGAAGTACAGGTGGCCTGAGACTTGAAACTAACAACAGACGTGGGGGGCATCTTGTGAAACTGAGCTCCTTTAATTTATGTAATTGAGTATGAACTCCAGGTGGATGGTGTCAGAAGTTAATCGACTTGTTGGATACCAGGGAGATGTCTGGAGAATTGGAGAAGCTGTGTCAAAAAACACCCCACATTTGGTGTCAGAAATGTCAGAAGGAATAAAGCCTCTCCCTGTCCTAATGAAAATGTCTAGGGTAACTGCAGGTCCCCTTGACGGCTCCTGCTCTTATTTTGTGTTATGTACACTATGTCTAGCAAAACTTTGTTGACCAAGGCAAGTTCTCTAAGCATTTGGCATCCAGGTTGCAAATGTAAGATTATAATGCAGTTGTTTTAGTTTGCTGATCATTTCCTGTTGCAGATGTTATCTACCACATTCTCTTTCTTCCCACCCCACCCTCCAACCCCTGTCTTAGGAACATTGTGTTCTCTTTTTTTTAAATGCTCTATAGTACATTCTACCTAGAAACCTGCAAATAAATGTGGAGGGGATGAGTGGATGGGTTGATAGTAGGCTAAGAGAATTTAACCTTTTTCACTTTTCCTTTTCTTCCCCTTTCTTTCCTGTTTGAATTCCACATTATAATATGGTAGGGAGGGGAAGGAAGGTTGCCTGAAGAAATACTCTGAGTATTCTGGGAGAAATCATGACCGTAAGAGAAGTGTCAGAAAATTGCAGACAGATAAATGTTCAGAAAGGGAAACAAGGTGAAGGCAGGAGGATCATGAGTTCAAGGCCACCCTGGGCTACATGTGGAGCTCCAGGTGAGTCCGGATTACATACAAGACCCTGTCTCAAAAACCAATCTGCCGAGATCAGGAGGACTAAAGTTCAAAGCCAGCTGGGGCAAATCTATCTCGAAAATACCCAACACAAAACAGGTCTGGCAGAGTGTCTCAAGTGGTAGAGACCCTGCTAGCAAGCATGAGGCCATGAGTTCAAATCCCAGCACCACCAAAAAAAGGAAAATTCTAGAATTCCAAATCAATAAATTTCTAGTGGTTTGTCAACAAAAGTTTAATTGGGTTATTAAGTGGTACACAAACTCTTAGAAAGGAAACAAGTGATCTTAACAGCCAGAGTGGATTCAAGTAAAACAACCTGCAGAGAACATACAGCAATCTGGGAGGGGCTTCTATGCTGTGTCATCAGGAAAGGCAGTTGTCTTAGTGTGCACTGTGCTGCTATAACAGAATATCTGAGACTGGGAAATTTATAAAAGACAGTTATTCTTATAGTTCTGGGAGATCCAAGGTCAAGGCTTTCATTCCATGGTGAAAGGTGGAAGGACACAGAATGCATATGCATGGAGAGGGGGGCGGGATGGTGGGAAGGGGAGAGAGAGAGAGAGAAGAAGATAGGCTGAACTTGCTTTTATAACAAACCTACTCCAGGGATAATGACATTAATCCATTTATGATGGCAGAGCCCTCATGTTCTATTCATCACTTAAAAGTTCCACCTCACAACTATAGCACTGGGGACTGTTTCCAACACATTAGTTTTGGAAGATACATTCAAACAATAGCAACCTTTCACTTTTCAGGATTAAAAATGTGCTCATGACCATGTCAATTAAAACACACCACCTCAGATAAGCACCAGAGCGCCAATTTATAAATCCATTCTAAACAGACTGGCCTGCACAGGCAGGATGTTACTCTCAGGTTTACTTTCAATAGTCCAGCTAATTGGAAAATTAAAATGTAATTAGCATCCACATTTTTTTTGTTTTTTCAAGCAAATGATTACTTTTATTAACGTGATTTTTTTTCAAACATGGTAGAAAAAAACATGTTTTTTTCAAACATAAGTATTTGACATCAAATACTTATCAGGTCTGCTACTCGAATAAACTTACATCTGGACAACTTTGAGACCTTGAAGACGCCTTTTCCTGTCCAGCCCAGGGTTGAATTGCAGAAGGTTCCATGCTTTTCTTCCCAGTCTGTCAAGGGCCTTTGCAAATAGCTCTCATTTTATTCCCAGAATCCCTTAAAATGCACAGCATGTCACATCAACACGTTCAGAAGGCCAAGATCTCATTTGTCTAGGTTCCGTGTCAAATATAACTGAGTTAGGTTGTCCAAACAAACTCACCAGACAGGTTACAGGCAGAGCTCAGGAGGATTGAGGTTCTATCCTATCTCAAAAACACCCATCACAAAAAAGGACTGGTGGAGTGGCTCAAGATATAGGCCCTGAATCCAAACCCTGTACTGCAAAAAAAAAATAAAAAAGGTTGGCATCTGATGCTTTTGAATAAGGCCATTCTGTATGTCTGAAAGACAAGTAGTTTTTGCTGCCAATTCAAATGCCAGTCTTTTATCCTGAGGCCATAGTGGGGAGCTCTCTCAAGGTTAGACTGATGTCTACCCCAAAGTGGTTCTGGACTTCCTGTAGATAAACTTACTCCTTAGGATTACAATACTATTTCATACAACCCTGAGTTTAAACAGCAAAAATTCACAGTGCGGAGCTCTGGAAATATTTTGTGACAGTCTTAATCTGGCCAGTCCTGTGGTCTGCTGGAGTAATTAGAAGGTCAGGATTCCCCAGAGGTCCAGAGCAGTGTGTTCCTAGACACGCAGACATAGACTACCCTGACACTCCAATCTTATGCTGTCACTGCATGGCTCAGAATCCATGGCACAAGGCTTTTGGGTTCTCTCATCTCCATGGAGATATATTCCTAACAGCATTAAAGTGTTGTTGTTCCTAAACAAAATGGACAAACTCAGAGGAAAATAAAAAATGCTAAATATCCATAAGAAATAAGGAACTCCAATCAATAATGAGTAATTAAAGAAGTCGAAATGGAAGTTAAAATTTCTTCCCCTCCCCACCAAAGAAAACCCAGTTCCAGTTTTTGTTGTTGTTGTTGTTCCAGTGGTTTTACAGGTAAATTATACCAAATTTTCAAAGAACAGTTCATTCCTATCTTGTGTAAAAAGTTGTTTCAGGAAATAGAGCGAGAGCTATTCAGTTCATTGTATGATGTCAACTGGAACCTTGAATCCAAAACCTAATAAGGATAATTTAAAAGAGAAAACTATAATATCATTTAATTTATGAAATGGTTGCAAAAATACTAAATAACATTAAAGAATTAGAGAGCCTGTGCTACTCAGGAGGCAGAGATCAAGAGTCTCGATCAAAGTTTGAAGCCACTGCAGGCAAACCCATCACAAAAATGGCTCAAGGTGTAGGTCCAGAGTTCAAACCTGGGTACCATAAAAAAAAAAATTTTTGAACCATGTATTTTTAAAAGCGAATGCTAATCAGGTGCGATTTATCACAGAAATTCAAGGAAGGGTTCAATATTCAGCACTCAAATAGACAAGGGAAAATCATTATTGGTCTCTCTTGATGCAGAAAAGCATTTGATAAACTTTGACACTTATGTGCAGGTTTTTAAAAACACTGACGAACAGGGAGCAGAGGGTTCACTCCCTTAACTTGGTTATATACCAAACCCACTCAAAGATCCCGCTTAGCATGCTCACTTCGGCAGCACATAAGCTAAAATTGGAATGGCACAAAGATTGACATGGTCCCTGTGCAAGGATGACAGGCAAATTCTTGAGGTGTGAGTGACCCACAGGAGGCAGAACAGCATAGGGAGAGGGAAAACCTACCCAGTCCAACTGACTGCCTGTGTTTCCTTCCCCTCGGCCCTTACTAGATTTGACATGGGGCAAGCTATTTTACCTCCCCACATCTCAGTTCTCTCACCTCTAAAATGAGTCTCTTTTCTTATAGCATTGCTCTGGGAAATAGAGGACAATGTTGAGTGCAGTGTCTGGCACATGGCGATCTATAAACATGGAAGTGTTCAGAAACTAGCCAGGCTGTGGTCCTATCAGTCAGGCAGGGACACAAGTTCTGTGGAGTTTGTGTCCTCATAAATGAAGGACAGAGCCCCAAGGATGGCAGCAGCCCTCAGCAGAGCTGAAGGAAGGCACTGAAGGACGTGGAAAGGTAGAAGTAACAGCCCTGGGTCGGAAGTGGGAGGCATGTTTGGGGGGCAGGAGTAGCACTCAGCGCTGGAAGGTCACAGTCATTGGCCAGACAGGCAAAGGCCTTTCTTGGATGTATGTGGGCAGTCTTCTAGCACAGATGAGAGAGGTCCAGGGTCCTGCTATGGACTTGAGCTCCAAAGCTGAAGCTGCAAGACCACCTCAGAGCTCCTCTTGGGTCAGCCATGGTCAGAAGGGCGCTGTCTTCCCACCCATCCTCCTGCCTTCTTCAGCATGGGCCTGGTCCCAAGGCTTGGCCACTCCCAGCATCCAGCGCCCTCACCCCTGAGCCGGGATGGGAGGCAGGCGGAGGCTTTTGCGGGGGCTGTGCCGGGTGGGCAGTTTTCCCAGAGCAAGGAGTGAAGCAGGACTGAGTTGGCGCCAGCTTCTTCAGATGTAGACATTGCTGGCTGGATGGCCAGCCAGTCCCAGCTAGCCTGAACCCAAGGGCTCCCCCAGGCATTGTGTTCCTGCTCTAGGGACTGCAGCCCCTTGCCCCAGGGGAGTGGCATGTCACAGAGGCAAACCAGAGAGGCACCAGCAATGCCAGGAGTGGGGCATGGCCGAGCTAAGGCCAAAGTACAGTTAGCGCCAGGCACTGACAGAAAGAAGAGCCGCCTCAGCAGGACAAGGCAGGACCTATGGGAAGAGACCAGCTGGAGTGACCAAAGATGGAGCAGAGCTGCCCCTACCCCTCGAGGGACCAGGGCTAGAGGACCAGCTCATGGCAGGGTAAGGAAATCCTGGACCAGAGGAGGGAGCTGGGAGCAGCAGGGGTTGGAAGGTGATGAGTGCATCTCTAAGAGCAGAGCCTTAGTCAGTGTCACGATCCCAGCCTAAGAGCGGGACACCCATCCCTTACACTCTGTGGTGCCATGCTGAAAATAAGTCAGAGCTGGTCTTCACCAGAGAGCAGCTCAGAGAGCTGGCCCAACTCATTTGTCCTGAGGAAACTGAGACCTGGAAGAGGGATGGGAATTGCCCAAGGTCCCTGAGCAGCAGCCAGCAGCAGGGGACCTGGCCTGTGTGTTTTGACCCTTAGTTGGGTATCATTTCCTCTTTACCCCAGTAGCCTCTTCATCTCAGGACATGGTTGGGTCAAGAGTTGATTGTACTGAGCAGGGCAGAGCTCTGTGCTCCCTGTGGCCCCAATGGCACCCTGATAAGCAGGGTTTGGACTTGGGAGTGGGACAGGTGTTAATGCAGTAGTAGAGAGAACCCAGGACTCTTGGGTTCTGAGCCAAACTTTGCCACCCTGTGGTCATCTGAACCCAACCTCCCTCAGCTGTAAAATGGCACAGGACTGAGGACTAGGGAGGCCTGGCTTGTCTGCTTTCAGCACTCCCTGGTCCAGCAGGAGACCAGGCACTAAAATGCTCTTAGAAGTCAAGGTCAGGTGGGGCTGTGGGTCAGCCCCCTCACCAGGGCCTTCTGTGCAGAGTGAAGCCAGTCCTCAGAATGCAGCGCGCGAGCGGAGCCGGGTGAGGACGCTGCGTCAGGCTTTCCTGACCCTGCAGGCTGCTCTGCCTGCTGTGCCGCCTGACACCAAGCTCTCCAAGTTGGATGTGCTGGTTTTGGCCACCAGCTACATAGCTCACCTCACCCGCACACTTGGCCATGAGTTGCCTGGACCTGCCTGGCCCCCCTTCCTGCGTGGACTCCGCTACCTGCACCCTCTCAAGGTAGTTCACCAGCCCAGGGACTCAGTGGGGAGGGGATTTGGATGCCCAAAGCTTTGGGGGAAGGGCAGGAGACGGAGGATACACTGGACCAGGCCCTGCCCTGGGCAGAGATGACGTTGGGACCAGTTTCTTCCTTCTCTGTCAGAGGGAGAGGAGCCAAGGCTGGCTCATGGAGTGGAGTGGTGGCTGGGAATATCTGCATGAAAACGCAGCTCTTCCTGGAGAAGGGAAAGACTCTGGGGTTCTTAGCATCAGGGGAAAAGAGCAGGAAACAAAATGGAACCCCAGACAGTCATTGATCACTGTGCAGCTTCACCCCATCGCACAGCACCTGTCTTTCTGTTCTTTGGACTTCTGTCTCAGCAGAGCCCCGCCCTCTGTGGTTTAAGACAGCAGATGAGGGGTTGGGAGTTCCCAGCAGCCACTATGTGCAAACTGTCAGCCAGCTCTCCTGAACTTTTGCTTTAATATATACACAATGTAAGCAAGCAGCAGTCTGCCTTCTCTGCTTAGTACAAAATGATGACAAGTGTGATTACCAATGATCACCTATGTGTAGATGACCAATTGCTGTTAAAGGATGAAAGTAAGAGAGCCTGGGTAGGTCTAGAACTCTGGCAGATTGGCGGGGAGTAGTTAGCCAGTGAGCAGCATCCTCTGCCCCCAAGGGGACCACTTTTCTTCTCTAAGGCTTCTGGCATTTTCTAGGACCACCCTTGCTCCTGCTGGAAGGAGGAACAATCCTTGAGAAACACCCTCCCCGCCCCAGCTCCACTGCTCTGCCCATTGCCTAGGCCCCGGCTGCTGCCAGCTGTGCCCAGCACCTGACCTCTTTCTCCCTCCCAGCTGGGTCTTGCTCATCTTGGGGCCCTTGCTCTCTCTTCTTAGCCAACTTCTGTCTCTCAGCCAGGCTCAGGGTGTCAAGAGAATATGTGGGGCCTCTTGTGATGGGGAGACCACTGTAACCAAGCTGGGATGCCTGGGGGTGGACATCAGGCAGAGCTGCCAGGGGAAGCCAAGATTCACGTGTGTTATGTGTGTTTTTGGTTTTGGTGGAACTGGGAATTGAACTCAGGGCCTCGGCCCTGCTAGGCATGTGCTCTTCACACTCCGCCAGGCCTGAGATTCAGGTGTAAAACATTCTGTTCTACATAGGGCCACAATAGCAGTGTAACTTACTTCTCATCCCGTGTCTTGCAGAAGTGGCCCATGAGATCTCGCCTCTATGCTGGCGGTCTGGGGTGCTCCAGCCTGGACTCCACCACAACCATCGCTTCTGACCAGAGAACGAGAGATGCAGAGGGGGGGTCTCAAGTCTCTGGAGAGGCAGATGCTTGTCCCACCAAGCCACGTTTGCCAGCTCTTGGTGACAAATCACGCTCTTCCTGTTCCTAGACGGTGGCTCTCACCATGGACCTGGATTTTCTACCAGCCCTACCTGTCTTCCCTTTGACTCTCAGCTGTTGGATTTGACTCACGTTCAGCTCCCACATTCCAGCTGGCAGAAGTGAAGCAGTGAGAACTTCAGTGGTGGACAGTTCTCAGGAAGCAAAGAGATCTTTACCTTTGGAACTCAGGAAGGAACTTGCCAATGGCTCTTTGGTGGCAGCAATAGGGAAGTGGGAAAGAAAGAGACTTAATTGGACTCAAAGTCAAGGTGGGGCCCTACTCCTCCCTTTTCTCCTCTCAGACTCCTACAATCCCTCTGCCCGTAGCCAAAAGACAGAAATTACTGTACAGGTGTAGGAGGAGGGGCCAAGATGGCAGCCACCCCAGGGGGCTGATGGGAAGAACAGCAGGGGACCTAAAAGTTTCTTGGTAGCTGTAAGATTGGACAACTCTGGGCTGGGGTCGCCGAGCCGGAGGGGAAACTAAAGGGAACATGCTGTTTTCATTTGTACCGTCAGATACTTACCCAATGTCAAAGAGACAGCGTGGAATTTAGGATTCTTGTCTCTGGATTACGGTTTCTCCAGCTGCCCTCATCACCTCTCCGGGCCCTGCATCCTTCCACTCTTTTCTTGGCATAAGTTATTTCTGCAGGTTAAGCCATAAATCTTATGTTGCTTACACTCAAGTTGCCAGAGACAATTAGTCCCATGCGTCTAGTGTGACAAGATCTTATCCCAGAGTCAGTCCTACCTTAACTGGATCAGGCAGCCATTTAAGGCCTCACCTATGAAGGACTGACCTTTAAGGAAGAATATGTGTCATTTCCATGGTCACAGTCTTCTTTCTCCATTATGTTAGAAACACTACCTCAAGGCAGGCTGGGGTTCAGCGGGATCCCAGTGCTACAGTTGCCTGGAGCTTCATTCACTCTGGAGTTATTTCTACAATCTGATCTGGAAATTAGCTCCCTAGGCCAGCTCCTCCCCACACGCATCATCTTCTCAGGCTCTCCCTAAGTCTTGTGTCAAGGTGCCAGAAATGTGATGGAGTTTTAATATTCCAGAAGAAATCATTGGAGGAGACTGGGGATGTAGCTCAGTGGTAAAGTGTTTGCCAGGGCATGAGGCCGTGGGTTCAATACCCAACTCCACAAGAAGGAAAAAGAAAAAAAATCATTTTAAGACTAGTCACAGATTCTACATATACTGAGATGAGTTTTCCAGGTCAGGTGTAGCTGCAAATCTGCTCCCTGAAGTCCAGGTAGGGAAGGAACCACCTTCTTGTTAAATTTTAGCACCCAAGGCTGACTAGAGTCTGTCTGTTAGACAGAAGCTGTCATTGTCATCCTAAGTGTAAGGATGTCTGGGCAGGCTGGGAGGGGCTGGGGGGGCTATCCCTCCACAGAACTGGCCAGGCAGCAGGAGAAAGGAAGCCGAGGGGGTGACTCAGCAAGCTGGGGTGGAGGTAGGAGACACAGAACGTCCCAGCCCGAACTGCATGGGACGTGGGAGAACAGCTGGGTTGTGGCTGGAAGCCATGGGAGAAGGCCTCAGCCAAGGACGAACTCGTAAATCTGCCTGGAACCACGTCTCTGTGGAGGGACCCTGGAGAACTTGTGCAGAGTTGCTTCTGGGCAGCTGGACGGGGCCACGCAGGGGCAGAGACCAGGTGTGGGAGGGCACAAACAGTGTTCCTGACAAGACCATAAAAGTCCAGGCTGAATGTTCTATTTTTAAAGCAAATAGCAATTTTCCAGGTTGAGTTGGAGGGAGCTAAGAAGAGGTGCAGATAGATTTCTTCCCTTTTGGTGGCACACAATCTCTTTCTGAGCAGGAAGGGACTGGGTTTGGGTTTGTGTGTGCTAGGGGTTCCCCAAGAACCTGGAGCTTCTCCTGATAACTATACTGAGCTCGCCCTCCCCTTCCCTGCTCAGATTAAGGTCTTTGCTTCATCATATCAGACTCTCAGGGGTGACACATCATCCTGGTGGAGAAAACATGGAGGGCAAAAAAAGGAGGAAGCCAGTGAAAGGGCAAGCCTCGTGAGGATAGGTTCCTCTATTTTTATTTTATTATTATTATTTTTGAGGCAAGTTCTCATTATGTAGCCCTGGCTGGCCTCAAACTACTGATCCTCCTGCCTCAGCCTCCCGAGTGCTAGGATTATAGACATTTACTACCACACCTGGTTAGGACAAGTTTCAAAGGCTACCTCTGGCTCTTTGCAGAAAAGTTGTTTTCCTTTAGTGTCCAGGGAAGTCCCCAGCTGGAGAGCACCAGCATAGTCAGCACTGGGAGTCAAGGGGCTGGCACGAGGCAGGGGAAGCCAAAGAAAGGCCCAGAGGATGAGTGGGCAGTCCTAGAGGAGGAACTGGGCCTCAGCCTCCCTGGCAAGCACAGTGCGGCCCCTGAGAAACGTCAGGTTGGAGACTGGGATCCATGAGCTAACCAGAACCGGGAGTGGCCCCCATCGTGTTGCAGCAAGAAAAACACCTGCTGCCTGGGAGTCTTTAATTCCCACCAGCACCAGGGGGCGTGCGTGTGTAAGAGCAGTGGGAGGCAGAAGAGGCAGCTGAGGTCTCACTCACAATCACTGTAAGCTTCTTCTATCATAAATCAAAAGTAGGGAAACCATAGCCAGGGGACCAAATCCAGTCCCCCACTATCTTATACATAAAGTTTTATTGGGACAGAGCTCCACTCACTTGCTTAAGTATTATTTATGGCTGTCTTCTTGATACTGAGGCAGCCTTAATAGCTGAGATGGAGACAGAGACTGAAAAGCCTAAAAGATTTACTATTTGGGCCATGCAGAAAAAGATTTCTGTTTTTGTTTGTTTGTTTGTTTGTTTGTTTTGCACTGGGGTTTTGAACTCAGGGCCTCAAACTTGCTAGGCAGGTGCTCTAACCACTGAACCACTCTCCAGCAGAAAAAGATTTCTGAGCCCTGCCTATCAGATAATCAAAGATATTGGGGTATTCAAAGTGTGGCCTGGGAATACTGGGGTGATCTAAGTGGCTCGAACTCTTTTTGTAATACAAGATGCTATTTGCCATTGTTTGTTTGTTTGTTTGAGATAGGGTTTCCCTGTGCAACTGGTCCAGGCTCCCCTGGAACTCGCTGTGTAACCTAGGCTGGTCTTGAACTAGTGATTCTCCTGCTTCCTCCTCCTCCTCAGTGCTGGAATTACAAGTGTGTACACTATGCCCTGCTGTTTGCCTTTTTCACCCTTGTTCTAGAACAAGTGTAATGGAATTTTCCAGAAGATACATTGTTACTAAATGAGGGGTTTCTCTCAACTTCCTAGTTTCTAGACAAAATCACAGGAACATGAGATCCACACATGAAAAGAATTTCAAGGAGTCTCATAGCAAAGAGATTCTCACAAGGTGGAAGTTTTAGCAAGGATTTACTTCAGTACAACAGAATAAAGTAGGGAGAAATAGGAAAAGGGAGAAATGTTTCCTGCTCCTCATGCAGGAAGTGGGAGTGAAGCCTCAAAATGGTGGCTCTTACTGGAGTCTTTATTGTTTCTGGGCTGGGGGAATACATGAGGTCATGTGTCTAACACCCATGATCATTAGACAGTGAATCTGGCTGCCAGGATAGGTACTGTTTATTATTTTAAAATGAGATATGACCTACGCCTACCTGAAACACAGGGACAATAGGTGAGCTTCAGGACATCCTTCTGCCAGCCTTTTGTCTTTGCCCATTAGTGGAAGAGTTTGTAGCCTCCTAACATGTCGAAGGGGAAGGCAAACGTAGACAGTCCCTTTATATCTCCTGTTCTCGGAAGTTAACATCTAAAAGGTGGTGGGGAGGGAAGCTAGTGCTTCAGCTTTTCAGTTTTTACTGCCTAGTTCTAATGTCTAAATCTGGTCCTTTTAATAGTTATTAAAAATAACAGCTGGAGGTGTGGCTCAAGTGGTAGAGTGCCTGCCTAGCAAACGTGAAGCCCTGAGTTCAAACTCCAAAATAATAATTATTTCCCTGTCTCCTCATCTATCTGTCCTGCTTCAATATGTCATGTGATTTTGCAATAGATGAAGAAACAAATAGGAGAATCCAGCTATTAGGACAGAAATTAAAGACATTTGCAAAAGTGTAAAACAATATCATTTTTCTCACTAAATATTTTCCCAAATGGAAAATAATTTTTTCATAAAAATATTGTACATATTGACATATAGATTAGTTGATGTTATCTTAAAATAAGTATTTTAATTTTTAGTTTCTTCTTTTTTTTTCTTTTTGGCAGTACTGGGCTTTGAACTCAGGGCTTTGTGCTTCCTAGGCAAGTGTTCTACCACTTAAGCCACACCTCTAGCTCTATTTTAATTTCTTTTTTGTTATTGTTGGAGCTGTGGTTTGAACTCAGGGCTTTGTATTTGCAAAGCAGGCCCTCTACTGCTTGAGTCACACCTCCAGTCCATTTTGTTCTGGTTGTTTTGGAGATAGGGTCTTTCAAACTATTTGCCCAGGCTGATCTTGGACCATGATCTTCCCGATTTCAGCCTCCCAAGTAGCTAGAATTTTAGGCGTGAACTACCGTGCCTGGCTCTATTTTAATTTCTAATCTGATAACTATCTATAGATACAACCCAAGTAAGCAAAAGTTCTATGGGGATCTCCTCTTCCTCCTCTTCCTTCTTCTCTTCTCCTTCTTCTCTCCTCCTTCTTGTTTTTTCCAGTGCTGGGTGTTGAACCCAGGGCCTTGCAATCTACCACTGAACTACATTCCCATCCCAGGGTTCTGCTTTTCAAGAATGTAAAGGAGTCCTGAGATTTAAAAAAAAAAAAATTGCCAGAACCTGGGGCTTAGACTAGATTGGTAATGGTCAAGGAAGCACCTACCCCAGCCTCGTACACACACCATGTACCAAGACAGCTCTACCCTTTGTTCTGGGCAGACACCATGGATTAGCCTTGTGTTCTTTGTGCCAGATCCCACACCCTCCGTGGTGAGAAGACTCCTTTCCAGCTTTCTCCCCCACTACCAC